AATGGCCTTTAATCTAACTCAGAGTTTCGTGATAGTGAGACACAATTGCTCCTGGCAACACCGCTCTATTCCCGAGAGAATGTTGAGCACCAAAAACACTCCATCTGGAGCCTTTCTATTTGGCAGAACTGGCCTTTGGGCAAAGAAATGCCCATACCTCATCCACTGACACAGATACAGAGCGTGCATCAATGGATAAAACAGGACTGTCATATCCTGCCAAGACAGGGTAAGATAGTTTTGAAAAGTTCCTTGCCTTTAATAATGGTACGTCAGTTATGTTAGGCCTTAGCCAAAATTGGTTGACTCAACGTTGCAAACGAGACTTTGGGTGATTGCCCAGGTAGTCAGTTGTCTCTGTCAATTGTTGCACATTTTGGATATATCTCATTTGTTGAGTAGTGTTTATTCCCTTCTCAAATCTTTGACTGAGTTGAAGATTATATAATTGTAGTTACTCTTTACATTATTTGGACTTCTTGAGATAGAATGTTTAGCAAAGCTTTTGTTCTCAATATTGTTTGTTGTATTTATTATTTGTTGTTATTGTATGTAGTTGTATTTGGTTTAGTTCTGTCTTATTTAGACAAAAAGGGGAGATGTAGGGATAAGTCCCGCCCCTTAAGGGGCGTGTTCGCCTCGGGCTAATGTCTGCCTATACATTTGGCGAGCAAGCTCCGAGCTCTCGCTTCTGCTTTCCTGGTCTCCGCGGGAACGGTGGTTCTGTAAGTCTATTTCTACATTAAAGCTATATATATATATTTTTACACTCTGTCTGCATTCATTTACGCCGCTACAACTTGGGATCACACTGATATCTCTTGCCCTGGTTAGATTCTATTCAGTACCTTCTAGGTTAGCACCAAGTACTATTTTAAATTTATGCAGATTTATTTATATTTACATTAATATTTCTCTTAGCTTGCAGGACATTGTAATAATTAATTGGTCAATTTCTTTTTTGTTTTGTTTTTTTGAGACAGGGTTTCTCTGTAGCTTTGGAGCCTGTCCTGGAACTAGCTCTTGTAGACCAGGCTGGCCTAGAACTCACAGAGATCCGCCTGCCTCTGCCTCCCGAGTGCTGGGATTAAAGGCGTGTGCCAACACTACCTGCCTCGATTGATCAAATTCTTAAAGTGAGAATAATGGAAGCTAGATGATGAGAAGAAACCAGGAAGAGAATATTTTGGCTAGAACAATCAATGAGATTTAGTCTATTTCACTGTTTCCCAAATGGTCCCCAGACCACCAGAATCTAAATAATTGAAGCATCTGAAACACCATTAAAGACCTTCTGGGTCAGACTCTCTGCATCTTATAAATATTTTTAATTTTAATTTTCTTCAGCTTTATTGAGGTACGACTGATAAAGAACTGTATATACTCAAGGTTTACAATGTTTCTTTTCCAGAGAAGTAAGGTTTGAACAATGATTTGTATGTTCTAATTAACATACTCACTTGTGAACAAAGTTCCTGGGGAGTTGCTAACATTTAATGTCTCCTCTCACAGCAAATTTCACATATAAATACATGATTTACTGTAGTGAGAGTAGTACACCCTGGATCTCTAGAATGTGTACCTCCTGACTGACAGCTTGTACCCTTTAGGATACCTAAAATGATTTTCAGGGGCACCAGTCTTGGTGAGCACTAATCTAATCTGAAGAAGGGAAAAGGGATATGTAGAGAACAGTCCCTTTCGGCTCTTCTGTTTACTGGGCACACAATTAACAAAAGAATGAAACAATTTCACAATATCCAATTTGATTTGATTTCCCCATTTAAAAGACTGCTTTCAGCAAAGCAGTCCTTTCTTTTTTTGCAAGGACTGTGTCGCAGATATGGGGTAATACAGAGTCTCTGGAAGAGCAGAAATTCTGTGACACTACATAATGTGACTAGTTTTACTAAGTTTGAGAAGGAAAAGATAACCAGGGATGCGCCACAGGCCCCTGGAATTCAAGTCTGGGAAGCACAATGAGAGAAAGCAACAACGTGGAGATCGACTTGCTTAAGCTTTTAATTGGAAACATGTGATAGCTAAAACATGTAGCTGATTTAGATAAAAACCAAGGAGACTCGTGCTGGCTCACGTAGAGCAGGATTTCTGCAGCAGAGTACTACAGAAGTGAGATAACAGAATTAGATACGATCGAGGGGAAGAAAAATGCACAAAAGTCCTGAATTAAAATGAATTGAAACCTTCTGGGAGAAAAGCTATTTGGTAAGCTCCATTAAGTCTATTGTAGATTGCTTTATTTGACAAAGCAGCATCCTGGCATGTGGAACAGGAAAGAAAATAGCTATAAGATGATCTGTCAGGGGTTTCCAGTCTCTGAACAAATAAGATTCTGTGCAGTAGCCAATACAGATTTTAACTCAGAAGAGATACAGAAACAAAATGCAATTATATATCCCTAGTAAGTGCATTCAGTATGAATTTCCCACATACCCCTCTCCTCCCGTACTAACTCAACTGCAATCCATCAAGTGGATGCTCAAAATTAGGTTGCATCTATCCCACTATAACAACGTATAAGTAGTGTCTGTGATGCTGGAGATACTGAAGTGGAGGCAACACTATAAGTCATAATTAATCTGCTCTAACACATCTTAGGGAAGCACTTAAATAAGTTGAATAGCTTCATTATTATTACAGACTTTTCTTTATTTTGGCTATAGGTTTGTAGTATTTATTTGCAGCAATTCAATATTCTGAAAATGCTAACCACTGCTTATAGAAAGTATTGAGCACAGACAATAGTTTTTATGTTTATGGATCAAGTATATCACAAAAATAGAGAAAATTTCATTACAATAGCTAATGGATAGCTTTAAAAAGTCTGGCTTGATGTTTTTTTCTTTTCTGTAAGAATTTCTGTTTATGGAGTGAAGATTCTAAGACCCCTTACATGAGACCAAATGCAGATTTGAGTTTCGGTCAATTGATATGTACTCCTACATGACAAATTAAATTAAAGACACTAAATTATTATATTTCTAATGTTTACAACTTGCTTGGCATGCAACAGCTATGAAATGACTGGATGAATTAATCTGACCACCACAAAATCCAAGTTAGTTGTTATGACATGGCAGATGATTGGCAGGGAGGGAAAAGTCTCTCCCAGATCTGAGACTACACTTCAGATATTTGAAATTCAGGCCTAGTGCTTTTTTTTATTAAAAATGTATATGTATATATGACCTGTGTGTGCAGATGTGCACAGCCACATGCATACATAGACACCAGAGAAGAATGATGTTGGGTGTTTAGCTCTATCATTTTCCAGTGATCTTCTGTGCCCCCAAACAGTGCTGGGGTTACAGGCATCCAAGGCCATGCCTGGCTTTGTATGTAGTTGTTGGGATTTGAACTCAGGTCCTCATGTTTGCCAAAGGAAAAGCCTTTATAAACTGAGCCATCCCCCTAGCCTAATGCTTTTTTTAAAACTGTATTCCATATAATTAAAGTCCTAATATTGTTTGCAGTGGTTTACCGGAAACACTGGTCTGGTGGCAGGTATTCAGTCTTGTGATGATCTTCCATCCAGAGTCATTTATGATGAACTAATGGGTAAAGTGTTGTCTTATTGTTCATGAAGCTTACTCTATAGGCCCACTGGGTATCAACACCGTAGCTTCTGTGAGCTCCTGCTAAAACTTGACTAGAATAAAAGCCTTCACCCAGACAACCTTTTGTGGACTCCTATTTGGTACCCAATATATTTACTAAGTAACTGTGATGGTTATTTATTACTTGGTAGGTTTCAATTTTTGAACATTATGGAAATATTTAATTTTCTATGCACTAATCCAAAATCTTCTCTAAACTGTGTGTTTCGGGGTGTGCATGCGTATGTGATGCACACGTGCATGGACATATGTAAGTAGATATTAATGCTGGGTTTCTTGCGCCATCACACTCCACCTTGTGTTTGAAACAGGGTCTCTTGCTAAACGTGAAGCTTACTGATTGGCTGCCCAGCAGGTTCCAGGGATCTTTTGGTTTTCAACTCCTCAGCATCTGAATCCCAAGTGTATGCCACTGTTCCAGCTTTTAATTTTTTATATAGATGCTAGAGATCTGAACTCAGGTCTTCACGTTGCATGTTAAGCACTGACTAAGCCTTTAAAAAATCTTGACAGTTTCTCCTAAATTATATAATCAACTGCGTATTTTTCTTTATGTCCTTTGCGCTATATATATATATATATATATATTTAAAAAAATATATATGTTTAACACTTAAGTCATGTATCTATCTGTTACTTGTTTGGGTAGAATGTATAAGTAATCTAGCATTTAGGCAGATGTTTTCTTACAGTTGAAGAGAATATCAATAAATCCAAATCAAATATGGAACAATGATACCTAAATGTCCAGTGGGTGTAGTAATATGGGCGGCGGGGCTGCGTCCCCAGCACCCCGGCTGCCCACATGGCTAGCTTATGCTCCGAAATAACAACACACAAACTGTATTCATTTAAACACTGCTTGGCCCTTTAGCTCCAGCCCTTACAGGCTAATTCTCACATCCCGATCAAACCATCTCTAATTACCTGTGAGCACCAGTCTTACTGGGAAAGATTCAGCATGTCTAACTTGGCGGCTTGCTTCATCGCGTACGTCTGCCCGGGAGAGCAGAGCATGGCATCTCTCTGAGGCGTCTGCTCCCGAGAGGAGAGCTGTGGAGTCTGAGCTCACTTCCTCTTCCTCCCAGTGTTCTGTTTACTCCTCCCACCTATCTTCTAACCAATGAGGGCCAGGCAGTTTCTTTTTATTTAACCAATGACCTTCCTCCATCAAGTGGGAGTTTAATTTTTTTGGAAAAAAGTGCATATGTTAAATTAGGCACTTCAAATGAAAAGGAAATACATGAAGAACAGAAAACCCTGTAGACAGAGGTTCGATATTTAGCCAGTGTTTACTTATATAGCCCCATCAATTTGTTTTCTATCTGGTGTCCAGTCTGGTGGGTTGATGTATATATCATCTTACCTTGTTTTAAAGGTTTGAAAATACTGCCACTGCAAGTTAATGTTTATTACATATAACAAACCAGAATGATCATTACCTGACTCCTCCGTTTCTTTTGTTTCTGTCGTTTCTTCTATTTCATCGTCAGACATTTCCATTTCTTCTTCTCTCCTGATTCCCATTAATTCATCATTATGAATGTTGCGAATTTCCTAAGGTTAAAAGATATGTATTTTAGGCGGAAAATTTAGAAAATGTTGAGGAAATGGATGGAAGTATGGGGACATTTTAAAAACTCTCAGGGTGCTCTTAAACAAAAAGGCAACAGCACACTGAGACTACACAGTCTCGCTAAAAGGCACACTTGGCTCTTGTGTAGAGTTCTGAAATTTCCCTTTAGAGTTTTGTCATTATACCTTCCCACGTTGGGTTCTTTAATTTTGCTGCTTCTTATTTCGACTCCATGAACAGCTTTCCTGAACAGAACTCTAAACCAAGATTTTGTAGTTTTAGAAGATACAGCAAAAATGAGCTGCTAAGAGTAACCTTCTACAAGACTAACTTTTTCATGGACAATAGCTATAATGTTTGGACAAACCAAAATACATAACTACTTGATGTCAATAGACAGTGAACAAAGTAGGTATATCATGAAGAGGAACTGGCATTTGGAAGAAGCAAAAATAAAAAAAAAACAACCCAAAAAACAAAAAACAATCTATGGACACGTTTCCCAGGTTTTCAAAAGCCTCTTGGTTTGAGAGCAGATCAGAGTTAGTCACAGGGCAGCTAAATTTCTAGAAGAAAACCTAGCCTTTGTGGCCTAAATAATTACAAGAGAGTGGTTAAAAGAAAAACAGCCACTGGAGAGTCAGGAGGGAATCTGAGAAAGAAGAAATGTGTCTGGGAAGGAGAGCACAGAGGAAGGTAAGGAGAAGGGAGAAAGGAAGACACACACAGAGAGATTGTTTACACTCTGTATCTAAAATCCTTTCAAAGTTTTGCATGCTTTTTTAACCAAGAAAGCACAAGAGAGTCTAAGCAGCCTAGCTAAGGCTAAAGGTGCTAAACTGTTACTGGAACTTCTATCCAAGAAACCTCTAGCTTGAATACAAACAATGAAAATGATCATTTAAGCAAAACCACACAAAGTGAACATTTTGGAAGAACGTAGAAGAGTCCATAATTTTTACACTATAATACTCATATCTAGGATAACCACCAAAATCATTGGATATCTCAGGAACTAGGTTAAGATTACATTTTTCAGAAAAAGAATGACAGAGAACAACCTTGAAGTGATTCAGATGTGGTACTCAGCAAACAAATAATCAAGTATCTATTTAACTATCCTCCTGGCATAAAGAAATTGTACTCATATTAAAAAAAAGATAGGAAATTATATCAAAAGGTCAGATACTTTAAAAATAACTCAGATTAATTTAGCTTAAAATAAAAGACAAGAGTTCTTCTATTCAGAAGTAATGAACTAAGAAATGAAAACTTACTTTATTTTCAACATTAAACAAAGTTCTTACTGTAGACCTTTATGATGTTATTACCATTTCCTTCCACATATCTTGGTACAGTAAAATTTTTAATGAAATGAATTAACATTTGGTGATAGAATTCAATCAGCATAACAAAATCTAATCAAGAAATACTTAATGTGAAGTTTTTTTTTAACCACAGAAAGGAGTGGAATAATGAGGGACTGATTAGAAGGTGATAAAAAATCACTCTACAATATAATAAAACAGCACATACAAGAACAGCTAGGATACCTAAGATGTGATAAGAACAAGAAACCTACTACTTAGACACACACACACACACACACACACACACACACACATGCGCGCGCGCGCGCATACTAGCCCAAGGCAAAGAAGCTCTTGTTGACACTACACTTCTAAGACTAGAAAGCTCAGTCATCAGAAATGGATTGCAATCCACTGTGTAGAAAAGAGAAACAATTCAGAAAGACATTCAGTGTAGACCTCTGGTCTTCAAATATATGCTCAAAAATATGATCAAAAAAATGTGATCGAACACATTCTTACCCACAAATGTACATACATGTGAACACATACACACATACATACACACACATACGCATTATACCAAAACAAGTAAGAATGAGAACTATGAATATCAGAGCAATTTGAAATCATTTAGACATCACTTGATTGTATTAATTTCCTTGATTTTAAGCTGAGACTACCCTACCTAGGTTAACTCCTATTGGGTTGTAATATCAGAAACACTTATAGCTGTCTGGTATAAATTATTTCATTTATAAGCATTATATACATTTCTTTTTTCTTTTCTTTTTCTTTTTGAGTCAAGGTCTCACGAAGTAGTCCTGGCTGTCTTGGAACTCACTCTGGATCAGTTTGGTCTTGAACTCAAGAGATTCATTTGTCTCTGCTTCCGGGGTGCTGGGATTAAAGGCGCGTGCCACCCACACCTGGCCTTCAAATGGATTTATTAATGATGTCATAGTTTGTCACTATCCTATTTTTTCATTCCTTTATCAGGAAAAAAAATGATTTCTAGTTCCAGTTAAGTTTCCATTAACACTAAATGGATTCTTTACAAAGCGAGTCATTTAGTATCATTACTGATTGTTAAGAAGTAACAAAAAAATCAGATGTTCATATAGCACCTCCCATGTACTGCAGGGACTTTACTTAAAATAGAAGAAAACAGTGACTTGCTTGTGATAAATGAACTTTAGAGGGGTGTGTCATGAAAAAGATGTGCTATGTCTTATTCAGACTCACTGCATGAAGAACAATAACGGAATCTCATTCCTCTGAAAGCACTCTACCTCATAGGATTTAGTTTCAGTTAGCAGCAGGGCTGTTACTGGAAGGTGATCATAATAAAGTTTGACACTGGCAAATTCAAATATTGTACAGTTTACTGCATCATGAAAAGCTGTGTCCTTTCTTGATTTCTAATAAAAACATAGGCTGTCACAGGGTATAATCAGATACCAACTCTCAACTCACACACATGTCACTAACGCTGATAAAGTTATTACATTTCTCATGAGAGTAAATTGTGTTCATTCTAGGGAAATATCCCAGGGCAGCAAGATCTTACAACTAAGACAGGTCCTGTAGCTTCCCAGCATCCACAAAGCATCTTTTTGCTTCCAGTTTGGCAAGACAGCTTAAGATCTTAGAAATACAAAGACGTCAATAACTACATGATATGTCTTACCTAGAGATCTTTTACAGTTTCAAAATGCCCGTAGAAAAATAACAACACACCTGGGGCAAATTTTACCTAAATGCTTCAAAATACCTCAGGGACAAGAATCGTCTGTTATTTTAGCTAATAATGAAATGAGAATAATGAAAAACTCAGGGAAACATTTTCTAAGTTACTCAGTGGACTGCTCTGTACACTATACAATTCTTGGCTACAAAAAAACCCCCTAAAGCTCATATCATTATTTTTCTACAAATACCCAATACTAAGTCATACAATTGGAGTAGAAGCAAAGAGAACAGCAGAGGCTATGGGGTACCATATTAAAGAAAATTTAGAAGGCCCATTTGATAAATGACAGGCTACTTCTAAGAAAAGCGAGACTTTGTTAATTCTTGGAAACCTTTACTGTTAAAGTACTCTGCATCCATTTTCTGTATTTTCTGGTGGATCAGAAAATCTTTGAGAATGAAATCCTTACAAGTGCTTTCAGAGTAACAGACTACAAGGTGGAATGCACCCCCAAAGACCTTCTAAATAGCTTAGATATAAGACTGGGTAGGGAGTGGATTCCTAACTGAAGCTCAGACATCAAAAGTAATAGCTGTATCTCAGTTTTGCTCCATTTTCCGTTCTGACATCTTGATATAGTACAGCAACCAAAATGTGGGAATGATATGCTAAAACATTTTCAGTAATTTGCAGGTGTTAGTCACTACACGGAATTTTCTGAGACATGCAGAATATTTTTTACAACTAAGTGGTCCTAGAGTTTCTAAGCCACCCTCTTGCCCACTGTAAATATGTGGCGCATCTCATTCTGAACAGGTTGTGATTTCTGAAATGGCATTGTAATAATTTAGAGTCTGCTCTAATGGTGGCAACCCTTTCTGAAACTTAGATTTTTTGACTGCTCCACAATGGAGAAAAAAAAAGCACTTTCATATAGAATGAAATGAACCAGAGACAGAAGGAAATGCATGCAAAGAACCACTTTGTGCCAACTGACATCTATGATTTATTACAAAGTAAGCAAATCATAAATCATTACATATTAATTATTTAACCATAGTTTCACAAGAATTTATGTGGACTTTAATTGATCTTACTCATGCTTTATGATAGGAACATTATTACCAGAATATCAACACTCCTTATTAAATGTGTAACAAGACCCTACTAACCTATATTTTCTCTGTATTAATAAGAACCATGGTAGGAAAAGAGTCAGGAGGGATTGGAAAGAACAGAGGCTAGGAAAATAAGTAGCATGTACTCACAGAACAATGTGATTCTGAGATATCATTTAATAAAATGAAGCAACTTACAAACACAGGTTTGCCTCCTGTATGGCAAATAATGGAAATACAAATTAGGTTGATGCAAAATTGAGTTAGTGTGCATTGGATGGCTGAAGGCCAACAGCCAGTCTTAATGCAAGTGAGTACTAAACCAAGGGTGCACAGATGACTTCATTATCTATCTGCAAACAGTTCTTCACACTATGAAATGGAAGTAAATGGAAAAGGGTATTTTGTCAATTACAATCATCAAAGCCCTCTTCTTTCTGCTCAGTGGTGTAAAATCGTCTGCGAGGAAGGATGCAAGAAGCTGTCATCTTAATGTTTATGGCTATGATTCTAGTTTCTATACATTATCCAAGCTGTAGCACCGAGTGTGGGTCAGTTTGAGCAAACCACAGATTTTCAAATGATTCTGTTGGAAGGAGTCCCCTTCGTAAATACAACTGTGACTGTAGGCATTAACTCACAGGAAGAGGAGGCCTTCAGCCCTCTTAGCATCTTTTTCTTAGCATTTCACTTCTAGGAGCCAAACCAGGAAAGCAAATGCAATTAAAAAGACTCATTTCCAAACCCGTCAGCTTGGCACGGACTTTCACGGTATCTAATGTCTTCACAGACGGTTTTTTCCCCCTAAGTTCATGCTTTCTCTATCCCTCACTCAGCAGGATAAGAAATGCAGGTAGATGCATGACAGTGAGACAAGGAATGGGTACCTTCTGACATGAGCCTTCCACCAGCTGATTTGTTCCCTGAGGCGACTAAGAAGGAGTTGTCAAAACTTCTAACTTGATGAAACACCTGACTTTTGAGTTGTTCTGATTTTCAGTGGAGGTGCTAAAAGGCAGTTGCATCTGAAGAAGATAGCTTTTTTCACTTCCCATAGGATATATCTCTTAAATCTTCTCAGTGGTCTGCTATCAGGAGAGAATTTGTGGAGTTGAAAGCAAAAACGAAAATAATAGCACCAAACCACAGTTCAAGGGACAGCAATGCAAAGTGGAAGAATGCTTTGAGGTTTAGGGAAGGCAAGCTCAAAGGAAAGCCATGAGATATGTCTCACTGTTGAATGTAAAAGCAGAGGAACGTCATGAGCCAGCTATGAGTCACTATCAGTTCTAGTTACCAGGACTAAGGAAGGTAGGCCTTGAGTTAACTTAATCAAATACACAGGAAGCAGGTTGGACCAACAAGGCACAGATGGAATGTGTAGCTCTTGGCAAATCATGATGCCCAAGCATCTTATCACCACCACCCCTGCCTAGGAGGTTTTACAGTACTGTATAATGGGCTCAATGATTCTCAATTCTCTAGCTCTCTGGAGAAATGTCCAGTTCACCACCACAGCCATCTTTACTGTGACCCTAATTTAGCTTAAGTATAACGTATATACTCCCTAGGTAGTCAGGCTTAGGGGAAACTTTTTGAGATAAGGGTTCACTATATAGTTTAGGATGGCACTGAATGTCTGATCCTCCTGCCTCAGCCTGCTGGGATTGATTTCAAGTGTGTGCTACCACATCTACTTTGGGGACTATTTAATTGCCTGATAGCTGTTGCCTTGGGAAGTGAATCCCTTTCTTCTCTGTAGGGCTTTCCTTAAAAATTCTGGGGACCTTAGATCTTAGACCATCTAAAAGGTATGCAGGCTTATGTGTATTAAAGGGAAGGGAGATATTTAATGTAGGTTAAGAATTACTAATCCACCAAATTCAAAATCTAAAATGTTTCCGAAATTGAAAATGTTTGAGTGCCAACATGATACTAGAGATCAAAAATTAATGAAAATGCTATTAGCCCTTTATAATTCTATAACACTCACTGGATAGATGTCTTCAAGAGATTTCCCAGTGATTCCCAGTTCTCTCTGCTGAGCTAGAACTGAAGCCTTACAGATACAAGTTTAGGACCAGAGTTTGGTTTATTTTTCGTTAAATGTTGTCAAAATTTGAAGCTGTTCCCATACAAATTGCTTACCTATTCATAAAAGGAAAGTGTGGAGAGAATATTGCCGACTTGTCAAAGGTTAGCAAACTAAGTCTCACAGAGATTAGAAGATCTGTCCAAAACTACATGGAAGTCTGTAGCAGAGCTCAGAGAAGAATAATTTCTACTCACTTCCTACTTGTTTAATTTTGTGAAATCATTTAACATTTCTGCATTTCAGTTTTGCTACATGCAAAGCATGGGTTCTACACCTACTCAATATCCTGTATTGAGTTGTTTAATAATAAATTGAAATAACACCATTTACATTTTCAAACTGCTTATACATTTCTTAAACATTTAATCTTATAAAAGTGGTTTCATATTATCATCACCAATTAATGGGCAAAGAAATGGGGATCAAGAGATGCTGTATAACTTGCTCATTCCACCAAGCTACAAACGTAACAAAAGCTGACACTTGAATTCTTGTTAGACTCTCAATCCATAAGTAGCCTGTATCCACGACATTGACTGTAAGGTTTACAGTTGGGTGATATAACCAGTGTACAGTGCTTTATGGATGTTAAGTGTTGGGTACTGAGGCTATAGCTCTGTGGGAAAGTGTCTGTCTAAAATACACAAGACCCTAAGTTCAACTGTCAGCACGGAGAACAATGAACATGAGAAGTTGAACTATGAATACAATATAGAATTTCTTACTAGAATGACCAAATAAAACATAGGTGAAGTCGAAAAAGCTGCTGTATACACACACACACACACACACACACACACACACACACACACACACAAAATCAAGCCGAGGGAAGGAGGCTTCCTATGGGCACAGAGATACTCATGAAACTATTTCCACAGGTAGTTCAGTGGAAACAAAACCTCCCATCTACTTTATCGTTAGACGCAGGCTATTAACCTAATCATATTACACATATTGTAGTGTTTTGCTAAAGATTTCGTTGAGCACAAGCAGAATATGTGTCGACCTTGATCTGAAATCACAGTCCTTTCTTCCTTTTAAATCTCCCGCATATACAAGACAGCTGGACAGATCTGATAAAAGCAGCTCAGAAATGTCTTTGCTCCAGAGTACCAGCAGACAGCTGCTAGCCTCGACTGTCAATGCACTTTTACTAAATGGAAGACAGCCCTAATATTACTAATGCTAGATGGATAGGTCAGTAATTATTACTGTACTCAAGACCAGCTAGTGTGGAGAAGTAAACTTACAACTATCCCAGCTGCATTTTCACCGAGATTTCTATCCAGCAGGATGCACTTAAGACAACACATGCATATTTATTACCCTTTTGCCATTAGGTGGTCTGGATGTTGACAGGGTATAGAACACATTTCAGTGTTTCACTAGGGCCTTGTTGTGACCATGGGAGCTTGGCACTATTTAATTCTGGTTAAACCCCCAAATCAATACCTTGTTAAGGAAGGAAACTGTCCCCATGAGGAAGTGCCAGAGTAGAAAGTTACCAACCTCAGCTTGTTTGCACCAGACACTGATGTTTTTACGCTGGGCTTTTGTGAAGTGGTCCCATGTCTTCTGTTTGGAAGCAGAATGGTACACAGCTACTATCTGCTCAACTGCAGCATCAAATCAGCAGTCAGATCGGGCCAAATCAACATCCAGGGATGGAAAGAGAGAGAGAGAGAAATAAAGAGAAACATGAGGCTTGTTTCATCAAGTTCTTAGGACACAAAGCAGGCTGTGACTGTACTCAGATAAGATCACACGGGCCAATGTACTTTATTACTTTTCTCATGGCTGTGAAAAATTATGAAGCAACTAAAGAAAGGAAGGAGGGAGGAAGGGCCTATTGTGGCTCATAGTTTAATAATGGCAGGGAAGGCATGGCAGAAGGAGTGTGAGGCGGTCAGTGCATGTCAGTCAGGGAGCACAGAGTAGACGGGAAATGAGGCAGGACTAGAGAACCTCACAAGTGCTATCAGTGGTCGTCTACCTCTGGTGAGGCTGTATCTCCTAAAAGTTCACAACCTTCAAAATAGTACCACCAACTGGGGACCAAGAGTTCACAAACATGAGCTTATGGGGACAGTTCTCATTCAAATCAGGAGAGGTACTATGATTTTAAATGAGACTCAAGGAAAGAGACATCAATATACAGGAAGAAGAAATTCCCAGTTTGGGGTGAGATGATGAGCAAAGTTTTTCATACAAAAATTGTGTATTCATTTATGGAAAAAGAAAGCAAGAGTCAAAATAAATGTGTTTTAAGTTCAGATTTTGCATTTAGCTGAGTGCTATGAACTCTGCAAAGCATGGATACAAACTATACTACTGGGTCCTTTTCATTGTAAATTAATTTGTAGATAACATAAAACAGTGGGCTTCATTATAACATTTTCATACATATATATGATTATGTGTTACTCCTATTCACTGTCTCTGTTTATTAAGTTGCCTTCTAAAATAAAGGGGAATGTTTAACTTCAAGGAAAATTTGTTTTTTGCTATTCCAAGTTATGTTTAACCAGAAGCATCAAATCAAAATATAAAACGGTTGAGTCTGTATTAAGTACACCTACATAGGCTTGTTGACTAGAGAAAAAATTATGAAAGAAATCTTTGTGAATGCAGTCCTAGAGAACATCTTTCAAGGTCCCTTAAAATGTTAAAAGGAGAAACACACACCAATCTGTGGAGATATTCCGCTATTTAGTGCGTGTGTGTCAGAGGACAAGCTGCCAGAGTTAGTCTTCTCATTCCACCATGTTGGTTCTGTGGCTTGAACTGTTAGACTTGGAGGCGTCCACTTTACCCTGCGGGGCCATCTCTCTGGCTCACAGGAAGAGGATCTTGGATATGAGTATTTGGGAGAAACAAAAGCAGAAGAACCCCTGCTTCTCACAGCAGACAAATCCAGAGACAGGATTTCTCTTTCCAGTCATGTTCTCATTGTGTTCTAACGACTTCAGGAATCTCGCTGCTTTCTTTTTCTACTTCTCCTGTAGTCCTGGAGATATGTGTTTTCCCCTCTTGGATTTTATGGCTAGCTATACTTCCAAAGTATGAGTGGAAGAGGAGGAAATCCTTAAACACAGTTATGTATGAGTCAAGTACAAAGAGAAAAGTGTAGGAAGAGTGGACCATAATTGCTTAAAAGCAAAATCATAAAACTGCCCTGATTCTTAAGGTGAATATAGCTCCTTATTGAAAAGATGTGATCATATAATTTTGCTACAGGGTGAACAAAAAAAAATTACTTGAGCGTTTATTGGATCTATCTCATTTAAGAATTTGGATAGATCTGAAGTGGTCTAATTTTTAAAAGTGGCCATTTGAATGGCTTCTCACCTCTATGGTGCCTATCATATCTAGTGAAGATAAAGAAAACTAAACTGAAAATGTAGAAGTAGCTAATTTATTTTTTATGCAATCATCTTGGGAAAATATAATCTTATTTATTATAAGTTCTTAAACAGCATATTGCATGATGATAATCATGTAAATCTGAAGAAACACAGCCATAAAATCCTAACATCATATTCTAACTTCAGCAATAAAGTCTCTAATCCTCTACTGAGGACCAGGGTTGTAAAAGGATGAACTGTTGCCTACCTACATCTCAGTGCTTCTAGAGAGCCGAAGAAGCTAAACCAGAGAAAATGGGAACAGGTACTGATATGTATCCTGTGAAGTTAGAGCTTTGGCATTTGACAATATGAGGTAGTGGTTCTCAACACGTGGGTCGTGACCCTTTTGGGGGATCAGATGAGCCTTTCACGGGAGTTGCATATCAGATATTTACATTACAATTCATAATGGCAGAAAAAGAACAGTTATGAGGTAGCAACAAAAATAATGTTATGGTTGGGGGGGTCACCACAACATGAGGAACTGTATTAAAGGGTCGCAGTGTTGTTAGCAAGGCTGAGAACGGCTGATATAAGGAGAGCAGACGGCAGCTAGGAAGGTTTCCCTAGCCACTAGAAATAGATAGCTTTGCAAGGCCTTGGGGCCTATGGAGGGCATGTGGCCATTAAGCGGAGGGCTCTCTCAGGCTTTCAGCACAACTTCACCTTCCACTTACACTGAATAAGAATTCCAGAAAGGGCCTGCTTGAACTTTTCTTTTGCTTCTTCCATCTCTTTCTCATGGGCGACTTTCTCATTCACCAGGCGGCGGATGTGGCTGTTGGCCGATTGGATCATGGAGTAGAAGTGGTTGGCACTGCGGCGGTTCACCTCTCCTCTCTCTATCCAGGTGAGCAAGGTCTGCACAGCTTCCGAGAATTTGGAATCATCTGAAACAAAAGAATTTATTCTGAAAACAAACGATGGGCAGTGAACAAATCTCGATCTGTTTTTACAACATTCTGGCAAAGAGGGCATCAGAGATTTTGGCAACTATAGTTCAATGAATTAATGACGGGAAGGAAGCCCACATGTACACACATGTACATACATGTACACACATGCACACACAGGCAGAAAGTGGGAAGAAAGAAATAATGAAAGCCTAGGAAGACTGTTTATGGCTTAAGAAGAGTTTCAGAAAGAGGGTGGCTTCTTTCCTTTCTAAAATTTCTCGGGCTGTAAGTCAGTGTGTGTGAGGCCCTAGTTTCCATCCCCAGTACACACAAACACACACACACACACACACGCACACACACACTCCCTTAAATAAAGACATATTTATGATACGATAGTTTTAATGTATTGAGAATTTCTTAATTTATCTGATTATTTGAGAGAGGGAGGTAAGGAGATGGGGAGAGAGAGAGAGAGGAAGAGAGAGACAGAGACACCCAAGCATGCATGCAGGCACACGCATAGATACACATTGGGGGATTAACAATGGGGGAATCTCACAATTCTATAATCTTGCATTTTAATAAGGAAAAGCCAGTGAGATTGTTGCATGTAAGTTGGACAGGTCAGGACTTTTACCCTGGATCCACGGAATTATAGTTATGGAAAGAGCTTCAGGAATGAGTTCAGTATGTAGCTCTTTATGTGTAAGCACTTAAATCTTCGACCATTTTGAAAAGCATTGTGGCATCCAATTCAGAGCTCTGCACCCCTACTCAGTCCCAGTCATGATCTATTTTGATCCTTTTGTTTGCATGTGTCCTCATATCCTTTGTCCCCTGCCTTCCAGTAGATGTCTGCAGTTCCCCAGGGGTCAGCCTGTAATGTTAGAGGAGCACAGCTCATCTATACCTTCCAGGCCTCCCTTCCAAGCTACTCACATGTTCTGTTCTTACAGACTTGTGAGACAGACTCTAAGAGCATCCAAGCGAAGCCACATTCTACAGCTTCATGTCCCTCACTGGCTAGAAGCTCTTAGTCGAGCAGAAATATCTGGCTCTGCAATTATCTTTGCTTGCCCCCTGCCCTTTATTTTTCGGTGCAGACACAGCGGTAGATGAGTCTTCCCTGTGTAGCAGCTTTCCATTTCATTACTTGGATACCGTCTTTTATGTCGACACTGCTTGTGCTTCTCTTGAGGGCCATGGAACCTTTTTTTTTTAATGTAAGGTTTCTTGTTTGGTGTCATGTGAATAGACAAGTCTTGGAAACTGGCATCCCACCAACATGAAAGCTTCTCTAGTGTTTCAAAATGTACCATTATTTCTGTTCAGTTCGGGATGTTACGCTTTCTGTTTTTCCCTTGCAGAAAGTCAAAGTCAGTCCAAACAGGTTTCTTACATGTGGTGTAAACAAGTTCGACAAGTGCAACCTATTTATTTAGAAAGTAGAATTAGCAGGATCTTTTGCTGAAGAGAAAAGCACAGAAGCAGGGCAAATTCACACCACACATTCGCGCTGGGTCACTGTCATCAGTAAGATCAATGGGACAGCAGCATTCAATCAATGAAATCAACTATACTTGGAAAAGCAGAGACTGGATTTGAGTTACTAAGACAAGCGGACAGGAAAGGTGATTAATGTCAAATTAGCAAAGTGGCTCTAAGATTTAAGCAAGAGTAGGGAGCAAAACTAAAGAAAAACGAGTTTGCCTTAACAATATCTAGACGTCTCCATAGCTGCTTTGTGGAATAACTTGGCCTTTAACAATAGTAAAGACTTCCTTTCTTGGGTAGTAGCTACGTCTTCAATGCATACACATGGTGACTAATTTATGGGTCTCTATTTTGCCATCTTGGTTTGTTTTTGTCTATTTATTTTGAGATAGGGATTCATTCTGTAACCCGGGCTGGCCTGGGATTCTTGGTTATCCTCCTGCCTCAGCCTCCAGAGTGTTGGGGTTACAAGCATGCTCCACTATACCAGCTCCTTTTGACATCTCTAAAATGAGGACTTCACTAGAATTTCCCAGGGTTAGATCCAGTTCTATCATGGTGATGTACTCACTGATTAAAAGTTCAAACGTTGCTAGTACCCATTAAGAAAGGGGGCACATGTAGGTCCTAAACCATGAGTCACACCTCAAATTTTCCAGTGTGGCAAATGGGAAAATATTTCTTCTTAGCTATCTGATGTCTGAATTGAAAGTTATCAGCCTTTGAGACAATGAAGGAACAGAGGCATGCATGGGATGGACACATTTGTTGGTTCTAAAGTTACTTGGTACTATTAGCAAGCTTCCAATACAAGAAATGCAGAATCTATTAGCCAGAAATTGAAAGGGTAACTCTGAACAGCACAATGATATTTATTACAATTCCCCAAGAAAAAGTTAACTCAATCACGGAGCTTGAATGCCTTCTATACCTTTCAGTTTTTCAGCAACAATGCTGCACTCATGATCTGAATAGTGGACCACTGGGGGTGGGGAAGGTGGACGCAGTCTTTGTTCTTCCATCCGTCTACGGTGCCGCTCCTCTCTCGCTAGCATGCGCTGCTTACACTCCCACTCATACAAGTCATCCCGAGCCTGGGCAAAGTCAACATGCAGCCGGCCGGTGTCCTTCTTGTCAGTACTGGAGCCCAGGCGAATTCGGTAACCTACATTAAATGGGAAGTGGAGGAAGCAAGAAGAGACTAGTAAGCCAACAACTATATGTACTTTTTCAAGTTCAGTGTCTTAGAGATGGTTTGAGTAGTTCCAAGTGGTCACATAATACCAAATTCTCTCTTAGTGGGATCAAGGTGAATCAGCAAGACTTAGGTTGCAACCTCGTTTTGTAATGTACACTGTGTCGTTTGAACTTAGTGAGAAGATGGAGTTGGAAATGGAGTTGCCTCTCTTTCCCCCATTTCAGACCCAACTCTATGTGTCTCAAAGTATCCTCCAAAGACTCTTGTCTGGGGCTGGGCTGTTCACTTCTACTCCATGATAGGGAGGGGAAAAGAAGTGCCAAATAGTCCAAGAGTAAAAAGCAACATACCCTTGAGAGCAGCTAGAAGGTAAATGATTTCCAGCAAATGCTACTATTATTTATCCCAAGATATAAAAGTATCTACAGTGAGAAAGAAGATCTATAAGTGCAGCACAGAAAGCTCATCCATGGAGACAATGTCAACTGGGAACTCCAGCTGACGGTCCAGTTTCCCCAGTTGGTTTCTGATGGATGCTATGAGGGCCTAATTTGATGATGTTATCTCTATCTGTTGCATATATATATATATATATATATATATATATATATATATATCTTGGAAGCCTCACTCACGGAATTTTAATGCTCTCCCCAGGAATCTTATTTGGGAACTTCAGCTGGCTGCCTTATGAGGGTTTTCCCAGTCTGTCTCCGCTGATGTTTGTAACACTCCATTTTTAGCATGTTACCTTAGTGCTGTGGTTCTTTTACTTGAAGTCCTTTTCTAAGAGAACATTCTGCTCTGCCTGGGACTCTCTCAATCAGTAATTCCTGCTGACTTGCCTCAATGGAGCTTTCCCAGTGGACTTCCGTTGGATATTTTGAGTACTTAATTTGGTGGTATTTGTTCTTCTTTTATTTTGACTCATTATGTACTCAATAAACTAATTGATTAAAAACAGAAAGTATGGCTATCACAGATCATTTTCCAGAGCATGCAGAACACATGTTTAGTAACAGTTTTCTATTCTATGGGTTTGGATGATCTTGTTTTTAGGATTCCTTTTCTCTACTTTGCCACCTGACAAGACATTAAGCATGAGCATCAGAGCTCAGGGATATGGCTCAGTGAGTAAAGTACTCATTGCATAACTAAGAAGAACTGAGTCAAATCCCCATATCTTAGAATCTCCACAAAAACCAGGCAGGGTAGCAAATGTCTGTAATCCAAATGCTCTTATGATGAGATGGGAGATGGAGATGGGGCGGGGAACATTGCGAATCCTCAGGAGCTCAACTGCAAGCGAAAATGGCAGTGACCAAGAGATCCTGTCTCAAACGAGGTAGAGGATAAGGACTGACACACATGCTCACATTCACACACACACAAATGTCCTCAAGCACCACATCACACATTTCTAAATAGACACAAGGTAAGCTAAAACAAAGCACCACCAAGGAAAGAATGAGCCTTCTATTGTACCAAGGACTGGGAAGAATGGAAATGGCATTTCCCTATTATGATGTTCTTGGACAACTTCAAGAATGAAAGTTATATCATTCCATAGAATTTTAGTGAAATATAAATATATTTGCTTGTAATTTAACTTTTAAAAATTGTTTCCTGGATGTAATTGGTAACTCTAGACTACTTTCCTTTCTAGGAGGGAATTAAATAGATGGGGGGGGGGGATACAATGCAGTGGTTCATAGTTTGGGATAATAAAAGATGTTGATGTAATAAGAATATTCATACAGAATTTGGATTTAGAAAATCAGGACCAACTTCCTCCTATTTTTTTTTGTGCCAGTTATATCACCTAGGCAAAATTTCTTGACAAACAGTTAAGATGTTGTTTAGTACATTTTGTGATTCAGGAGCTCAGATAAATATTCTTCATTTTCATTCTCAGCAAACATTTTACCAATGAGAAAGACAAGCATCAGAGAAGGTAGAGAGGTTAAGCAGTTTGCCCTGGGGGTGGGGGTAGGGAGTGGAGTGCAAAGGCCAGAATCAGAACTTGAATCTAGAAAGTTAGATTTGCAAAGCTATTGAGCTTTCTTCTATTCTGCTGAGTAAGGCCCAATATAGAATTTGTTCTTTGATAAGCAATAGGGGGTCATATTTATCTTCCTCCTTAAAAAAGAAACACATGCCAGGTGGTGGCAGTGGCATAACCTTTAATTACAGCACGGGAGGCTGAGGCAGGCAGATCTGTGAGTTCAAGGCCAGCCAGGCTGGTCTACAGAGCAAGTTCCAAGAGAGCCAGGTGTACACAGAGAAACCCTGTCTTGGAAAAAAAGTAAACACATGAAACAACAGTGTTTAAGATACTGGACAATGAAGACAGTGAGTGGTGGGAGAGGATCCCATGAGATAGTCCCTGTGATTGCCCCAAGCCACATTCCAGAGGTTTCCAGGTCTTAATGCAGAAGGCGAAGTTCTGATACAGCCCACTGTTCTTCCCTGGGATTCTATGAAGAATACGGTAAACAGAGTTCATAAAGCAGAATATCAGAAGGTAGGAATCTGCACATTAAAAAATCTTAAGGTATCTGTAGGAGAGATCTTCAAAGACCACCACAATAATTTATCAAAAGTGGAAACCATCTGAACGCTAGAAGTCGCAATCTCTGGAGCTCACATAAGTCTGGAAATAACTCCTTTCTCTACCAGACAGAGGACAAAAACTCATAAAAGAACGGAGTACTGGGTAATTAGAAACATTTACCTTAATCGTGGGGGGGGGGAAAGGATAGCACTAGGTTTGCTTTGGTCCTACTGAAAGTGTTTAAAAAGCAACCTTTAAAAGGCTAAAGTTTCTCAGGCTTCATACTTTCATCTTAGAGCAAAGCTCAAAAGTACTATTTATAAGAGTATAAGTGTGTATTTCCACCAGTTGGTTATCCAATATGAAGTGAAAACATACATACAAGTAACATTATGCACATAAAGCAAGTTGAATTTAGAAAATACTTGTATATACATATATGCATGTAACTACAATTAGTGAAAAAGAGGCCATGACTCTGAGAGCAAAGAAAGGTATATGGGGTGTTTAGAGAAAAGAAAGGGGAAATGAGATAATTCTAATCTCAAAAACAAAAGAAATAATTAACATATCTTTCTCAAAGAAAAATAGTCATTTTTTTTTTCCCTTTCGAGATAGGTTCTTGGTATGTAGCCCAGGCTGGGCTGAAACTCCCAATTTTCTTCCCCTAGTATCCTGAATGCTAAGATTAATTCTTTCTGAAACATACAATTCTGAAAGAGGTCATCGGAACTGACTTGTGCTATGAAAAATGTTAAAGGAAATTCAAGCAGTGGGAAATGATACCAAATGGAAATCTGACTCTGCAAGGGAAAGAAGAACATACATAATGTATAATCCCACTTACAGGAAGTTCCAAGAAATGCATAGTAATCTGATAAAGAGCAGATAAGTGACTGCCTGAGATGAAATAGGAGGGGAGAAAGAATCAGAAACGAGGGACAAAGGAAGCTTTAGGCAGTGGAGGATATGCTAATTCTTTTAATGGTGATGATTTTATATCTGTATCATATCACACATTATATAATTGTATTTTGAATTATGTGTATCCATGATCATACTTATATGTTTCGATTAGTGTTATAATAGATGACCCCTAGTAACACAAAGGGTGCCACATGTTTCTTTTAGAAAAACAATAACCATATTTTATCAAGCAACTTAAGACCCTTTCCTGTTTGGTGCGGTACTCGCATGCCCATTCATTTTACTGATCATCTAAGCCATCAGAAAAGTGGAGCTGCAAATGAATTACAAAAGAGATGAGGATATTCAGGCCTTAGAAGCCACAGCAAAGATGCTATGATGTTGTGGGTCAAGTAGATCCAAAGGTGTTTTGATCCCCCCCCCAAAAAAAAGGAAATGATTCTTCCTACATTCCTGCAACATCTTCTAGAAAAGGTTTTTATGTTTTGATTCTTTTCACCACATTCTTTTATAATTTATAATAAAAGAAGAATTCAAGAGATTAGTGGCACCTGTGACCTTCCCCAGGAGAATGCTCAAATTTAAAGGGCAAAATTTAGTTCTTTCCACAACACTGATTGCCAGTCATCTCCTTTCATTTGGCAGTCGTGCGGATGTTTGTAGGAAGTGACTGTAAACAGAGACTAGATTTCAGTCATGTTCAGATGGGTGCCTCCCAAACAGTATGTTTTCTTTTATGTCTAACTATTTAGGGTGTTTCGAAACCTTTACATTCTTATTAAAATAGGCTATTGTGGCCTGCTCTGTTATTGTTGCTAAGTGCTGCCTAATCTTTAGTAGTTGGATTCTGTAGCACTTAGCAACTGTACTAAGAGCATCCTGCATCTACCGCCCCCCCCTTTTCCCCATGCTACTAGCCTACTTTTACAAATTCTATATACCTTTACCCTGGCCTATTGCAGCAGACTTCAAACTAACCTCCGTTCTTTTCTCTTCTTCCCTCTAATCCACTTTTACACAGAAATGTCAGATTAATCTTCTTGAGACAACCAGTCTCCTTGTTCAAAATTGACTTCCTTACTCCCTAGTACCTGGGGAGTAAAAACCCAGTTTCTAAACCTTTCAATGTAGGCTAACAACTTAGGTTTTCCAACCGTCTCTCATGCCTGCTTAATATACAAACCACCCACTCTTAAGTCTCTTGAATGTTTGCCATAACTTTCTACTTTTCTAATTCTGCTCATGTGATTCTTTGTTCCACTGCTGTCTCGGTTACTTTTCTATTGCTATGATAAGACATGGCAATGAAACTTAGAGAACAGTTTACTGGGGCTTACAGTCTCAGAGGGTTATAGGCCATGACCATCACGGTGCCAGCATGGCAGCAGGCAGGCAGGTAGGCCGGCAGGCATGGAACAGTAACTGAGAGTTTACAGTCTTATCTCTAAGTAGGAGGTAGGGTGAGCTAACTGGGAGGTCATGGACTTTTCAAACCTCAATGCCTGCCTCCTATTACATATAAACTCCAACAAGGCCACACTTTCTAATCCTTCTCAAATATTTCCACTGATTGGGGACCAACTATTCAAACATATGAGCCTATGGGGGTCAATTTCATTCAAGCCACCACAAAAGTAGTTCGCCAGCAAATGCTTTCTCTTTGTCATTAGTCTTTTTGTGCCTAAAAGATGGTTCCATAAGTAAAGGCACTTGCTGCAAAGGGACTGAGTTGTGATAGAAGGAGAAAACTGACTCCTGTAAACTGTTATCTGGCCTCGAAACGAAGGCCATGACACACACCACCACCACCATCGCCGCCACCACTACCACCATGACCACAACCACAGATAAATGTAAAATACAATTTCAAAACTGACCTTTCTGGATATTTCTATTAGGATTCAGAAATAGTCATATTCTTTCCATCCCTCTTTCACTCCCCTTTCCATTATCTTTCCCTTCCCTATGGCAATTGTAAATCAGTCATCATTATCAGTAATGAGTGAGCCTTATCAGATGGAGGAAGAAGCATGAGTTCTAGAATGGTGTAATAGATGTCATGTTAGAATACAGTACCAGGTGCTGTGGGAGCACTCAGAAAGGGTGCCCCAACCTGGGACAGACTGGACAGATAAATTAGAGAAAGGTTTCCAGAGAGTTTATATTTGAGCTGCAGCATTAGGGTATGAGTGTGTGTTGGGTTGGCATGGGCAAAGATATAAAACATTGTGGCGCATTCTGGGATCTAGAATTTACTGTGTATTTGGGACATGTGTGCAGGAAGAATTGGGATGTCACACTGAGCAGAGTCTACCATCCACATCTCTAATGCCACATGTAAAGTCTAGTTATTTCCCAGACAGTTTGGAACTTCTGATGGCTTTAAGGAGGAAGGCTGGATAGAAGGTAATATGCCTTTTCCATCTTTTAAGGTAGAGGGAATCCCTTTTAATTAACACACTTCTGCTAATGACCCAAATACTCTGCTCTCAGATCTCTGCATTGTGCCTGGTGAGTACAATCAATACATATCAACACTTACCAGACAGATAAAGGGCTTTGTCCACCATAAACTCCTCAGCAAAGCGAATGTGACAGAAGTTCTTTTTGCTCTTCCGGATAGCAATGATCTCTCCACACTGCTCGAATACTTCCACAATGATCTGTTCGGTCCCATTCTCAGGCAGGCCACCCACAAATACTGTCTTACATCCTGGAGGCCTCTCTCGTGTTGCAGGTGGTGGGAGATCTAAATTAAAAGGTAAAATAATTGGAAATAAAAATATTTGCTTGGGACAGACCTCTTTGAAATCGGATTTTTTTCAGAGATGGTCTTATTGTCTCCTCAAAAACTTTAGCCTTGTCTCTGCTCTACAGAAAATTTATTGTATGAACCTGAAAAGCATTTTATCCAATGATTTTTGTGACTGTGGTTGCTACGGAATGAAGACCCATTCTGTCTGATCCATCTAGAGAGCTTTAGTTTTGTTCCTTACTTTTGCTGTGATAAGCCTGTACTGTTAATTTTTTGGTTATCTGTATTAAGAGGAGTAAGTAGGGGAAATTTCCCTTAGCTTCACTAATTACATTCGAGCCTGTACACCTACAGTCCCTGATAGAGTCGGCTTAGTTCAGATGGTGGATTCTACATTCTATTTATGTTTATTGAAAGAGGTGGTTCATGACTAATTTGACAATTACAAGGTGAATATTTACAAAAGTATTTATAGCTGTTAGAAGGGTTTGGTTAAACAAATTAGAGTACAAAGTATTACTTTTATATTCTTAGGGACTTTTAAATATAAATACAAATAAACCTTTTCTCTAATTTCTTGTTGGAGTAGTGAGTTCCAAAGCCAATCCTATAGCATTTAAAGGGGCAGAAACTCTAAACTTGCCTGGAAAACCATTAACTAAAATGAGATAAATCTTGCCATAGAGAGTCATTAAAAACATCCCTAATGCTTTTCCATCTCCCTCTCTAAGAGACAGCTTCTGTCTCTCCCTTCTCCCCACTTCTCCCCTTCCTCCCTCTGTCTGTCTGTCTGTCTGTCTGTCTGTCTGTCTCTCTCTCTCTCTCTCTCCCTACCTCTCTTTCTGCTCTTCTCTCTTTTTCCCTCATAACTCACTAAATAAATATCCAACCTCAAAAAAAAAAAATCTCTAATGAGATGATTCTTCCTCTGCATAAAAAGTGCGTTCCACTCTCTGTATTTATAAGGCTTGTTGGATCTGTCAGCTCCTCGTTACTCTTTATATGTGTAAAAGCATTTTTAAAAGCGAAACCCTACAGTTCAAAGCCCAACAAAACAAAGCATCCTGGCTATGTTTTTTATCTTTCTTCTTCCTAGTGTTGGTTTGTGTCTGCAAGGATTTATTTTGTGTAATCCATTCTTCTGATTCAGCTCTCAACAATTCTCCCAGCTCAAGATTTGGAAGCTCAACAATCAGGGATTACAGCTCCCCTGTGAAAATAAATGAGTTTCTTTCACAGAGGAGAATGAAGCCTCCACCTGAGTCTTATCCAAGCTGGCAAACAGCTGATTTGAGAGCTTCCTTGGTTAGCAGTTTCTCTATGTACCTAGCTTTGCTACTGCTGCCTGTCTTACTGGGGTGCTGAGAAGACCAAGGTTTTCATGATGACATTCCTCCCTTATTTAGTTGATAAAGTGGACAATGGGAGAACTTACAAACTGCTAAGTTTTGAAGTCTGTAATTTTCAGAAATCACTGCTTTAGTTTTCGCTTGTGTGTTCCCTATGAGAAGTTTAGAGGGGAAGAGAACAAGTTAGAGTGGGCAGGAGTCTGAATTATCTTACTTAGGACTACTAAGTGATGACATTTAGCAATTCTGGAAGAAAGGGGTTGACAATTGCTTAAGACTTAGGCTTTGGGGTTTTTAACAACTGGAAAATACTATTGCCATCCTAATTCCAGTTATTCTTAATTATGGTAGCATGAAAGAATCCACTTGGGAGTTGAACACATAATGCCTGGCCCCATACCAACAGCTGATCAGGGTTCAGGGTGCTGCTTGTGCTTTTTTTCTTTTAAGTTTCTCAGGCAGACTTAGTATGTACTTAGTGTTGAAAGTTATTGAGTATTCTGAACTTCTGATATTAAAGAGGAAAATTCTTGACTAAATGAAGTGTCTCATTCAAAGACATCACATCAGATAAAGATATCATAAACTTGGAATAGGAAATCCCACATTTAAGTCTTACTCAATATCTGTGTGACCATGGGGAAGTTACCCAACCTGTGAAAATTCCCTTTTCAATCTATTAAATCGGGATACTATTTCCTAACTTAAACTTCTTTTTGTATGACTATTGATACTACATTGACCATATTGCATGTTGTACAAACCCTAGCACTTCTTAGCTTCCTAATAAATAGTAGTCATTACAGTGTCAATATTCACAGGTGTCTTAACTCCTAATCTGGTGCTTTTTAAAACTCTAGCATATGACTGGAGTACAGTGTTAGCGAGGACCTGAACCTGTGAAATACAAACCCCCTTGATTTACCCAGATAAATCTGAGTTTGAGGAATTTGTGGCCATGAAGATGCCTGTAGTTTTGACCATAGAATAGAACCAAGCCACTGTATACACAGGCAAAGAATTTTCAAGACCATCTGTTTAGATGAGTTGCTTTTAAACAAAAAGCTTTGGAAGTCCTTTTTTAGAATAAAAAAGGCTTCTGGAACTTACTTTTAAAGGATCTGCATGGTAAATAATTCTTTTATGAAGCAAAAGTCACATTCATTACACAACCTGAATTTAGTTTATGCCCACTGACAGACTAAGGAATATGCAGTTGTTCTGGAAGTTACATATAATGCCCCAAATGCAAATGTCCATCCCCAGACTACATTTGTGGGGTTTAACATTTTGTGATGAAGTCATTATTCAGATGCTGCGATTCTTTTGTGGTGACTTCAGTTAAATAATGGAGCATAAAATCCACTAAGAATAATGTGAAGGATGACAGGGATGCATCTGCTCTCTTTAAGTAAATGCAGACTACCTCTTTGAGAGCAGTCGCCGGGATTTAGGTGTATCCCTGTAAGCAGGGAAAAGGCTGCACTGTCTTTATTCATGGATAGTATAGTATCTCTTCTTTAATTAACAGTTCAATGTCTTTGTTGTCCAGGCCCGATTTTCTAAACCCACTGGAATACACTGATCAGTACACAGCAATGAGAATCCCACAGGAGAACACATTTAAACTCTCCTTATTCACCAGGTAATGGGGTAGGCCCTGTAGTGCCTAAATCATCACTCAGTGTGGTGACAGAGAAAGGTTCATGTAAAGATGCAAGATAACTGGAAGAATAAAGAACTAGTCTTTGGTGATGGAAAAGGAGGAGCTTCCAGTAATTCTAATTACATCCAAGCAGCCACTCTGGGGAGTGTGTTAAGATTATCAGTATTAGGATGGGAATCCATTGACGGTCTTTGAGAAAGGAGGCAGAGAGCAGCACAAAGGATGTAAATACCATTTGCATAACATCCTACTTTTCAGAGGAACATCAGTGAATACTTGGTTGGTTTGTCAGAACGTATACAATGCAAAGTCTGTGAGTCGATTTTATTAGACAGCCCAAGAGCGAAGGCCTTACAGACAATCAGTGGAGGTCAGATGCATTTTTAATGTAATCCCAGCTAATTGGAAACAATCAGAAGGCTGGAAAATTGTTATTAATGCCCAATTTACTCGTTTATTTTTAATTCTCTTTATAGAGTCCAGCCTTCAGAGGCAAAATGGGTTCTGTCTCTTTTGATACGGTAAAATGAAAAAAAAATGCCTTTTCTGGTTCTTGGGTGTTTTCACATGTGTGTGCACACAGGCAGCAAGTGACAAGTCATCATTCATCCCTCATTCACTGTTACTTCCAATAGATTCAAAATGTAACCTGCCCTCAGAAGGTGTTACAGTGGAAGTGAAAATCTTGACAGAACTGACTTTGCTAGAGAGATGGAGCTCTGTTCTCTCATCGAGAGCCCCACTGATAGAGAATCAGTAAATCATTGAGAGCTATCCTGTAGAGAAAGTATGCTTGCTGTAGGCAGCTCTCTTTTTGCTATACTCCAAATCCTGGGAATAGGAGCCCAGTGCTTAGTCTTCTCCCCATTAGTAAATTCTACTGAAGTTTTCGATTACGTCTTACGTTGCCTACTCTAGATTGGAGAGGTTCAGTTACTTACCAACATCTCATGGCTGAAAAGAGGTGGAAAACTGGGCTATGCAATAAGGCCTGTGTTAGTTCCGAGACCAAGTACTTAACTGTTAAGGTATTCTGCCTGCTCCAGCAAATGTAAAAAGCCCCATCTATTACAAGCCAACCCTCTTTTGATTTTCTAGTATATTTTGAGGAGTTTTACCGAGAGACATATTTGCTGTGGTAGATTTTTTAAAATGTAGTAGTCATAGCTTTACTGCTGAGTGAAGATGTAGGTATCTAGGCTAATCTAACCCAATATCATAGTTTACGGGTAAAGAAACTGAGACACCAGGTAGCGTGGTTTAATGGTAGATGCACCTCTATTAACGTCTGTGGAAACAGGGGCTTTCATGGAACCTGAAGCTCCTTGATTGGCTACACTGGTTGGCTAGCAAACCTCCAGAATCTGCCTGCTTCTGGTCAGGTCACACATCATTCAGCTTTCATAAGGTACTGGTCATCTGAACTAAGGTCCTCGGGCTCGCATGGCAAGCATGTTACCCACAGAACCTAGCCCGCTGTTTCTTTTTTACATTTTGAAATGTTGGGAATCCTCATCATGTTGCATTTTACTATTTATTTTTAATTTTTATCTCTGGTTGGTCTGAGTCATTCTTACTCCTTTAAATCAGTTAGGCTTTCAAGAAGGATAAGTGGGGCAACAGTATTAAATACAGCAGAGAGATAAAGAATTAGGATCTAGATAGAAATGTCTCAGAAGGGTTTACCACAGATTTAATCTCAGCACCTCCCACGCTGAAGTACTCCAGAAGAGGAGAGCATACTTGGAGCTGGACGGGAGGTGAGTGAGGCTGTGAGCTAAGGAAGCACTGGAACCTGACTAAAGGGTGGGTGTGTGGCAAGTGGAAAAGAAGAATTGCAAACAGTAATGAGGCAGAGTGGTTCTCAACCTGTGGGTCGGGACCCCTTTGCGGGGTCACCCCACTCTTTCACAGGGGTCGTCTAAGAAGTCGGAAAACAAGATAGCTACATCACAATCGATAACAGTAGCAAAAATACAGTTTTGAAGTAGTGACAAAAATAATGTTAGGGTTGGGGGTCAGCACACCATGAGGAGATGTATTAAAGGGTCACACCATTAGGAAGGCCAAGAGCAAGCATTTAGAAGGGTGACTGGGCGGTGACTAAAGACACAGAGATGAATACTAGGATCTTAGTACTGAGGGTGACTTTGAATATCCTAGATAGGCATGAGGAAGTAGTGGGGCTTTTCATCAAGGCCTTATAATAAATTAGGCTTGGTGGGCCCTAGAGATGATCAGGGCTTCAAGCTATATCAACTGCCTGCTTTCCTGTCGTGCCTTTACAAAACAAGTTCTCACTGTTAATAAAAATGGCGGAATTGCCACACTTTCAGCAAAGAATTAAGAAAGAGATGCCCGAGTTTTTGTACGTGACTAAACTGAGTATCTCTCTTTAAACAAAATTTCCATTTCTAAAAAGCAAATAAAAAGCCAGTCTGATTTAAGCTTCACGGGTTTGTTATTTTTGAACTCAATTCTAAAGCAGATTCATCCCCAGAAGCCACTCATTTACTGGCATTAATTGACCTATCAGCCTTCCTTAGTACAACGATGAAGAACTAAATGATTGGGCCTTTGGGTAAATGCTGCCTTCTTACTCTGTGGCTCTTCCAACTCAGAACAGAGGAATCATGGCTGCATGAAGAGAAAGGTAAAAAATGTGTTTGAGAAATTTACTTATTTCTTTTACTACAGAATATGAAGTTACAATCTCTTTAAGGCATGCACTGACAAATAATGTGGTCTCTGTGTTAAAGAAAGACAAAAATCAGGACACTTGTGCTATCCTTTGGAGACTTAGAAACTGGACCCTTAAACTGAATATCTATTGTATCCACCCTGGATATCACAGGTTATGAACCATCCTGTTAGCTTAGACTTGATAAAAATAATGAAAGTCTAGCACAGGCTGCTCACATAATACATGAATGATTAAATCAGCAGGACTCTGCCTTTTTAGTTTTAATGCTCACAATGCCTACATTCAGGGGTTGTTTTTACATGATAAAGGAACTATTAGGGATGTGCATCTTTCTATAATTTGAACACAAAATGCTGGAAGAAAGGGAGAAAAGGGACATTGCATATGTTAGGACAGTGGAAATAAAAGAAAGACGTAAGGTTTAATGACATTGCTATGCATAAAACCAAAATCCAGGAATGGCTATGTGAGTTGTCAAGAAAGGGCTACAAAAGACTTTTCTTCTTTATTCCCTAATTCTCTTTGAAACAAAATACTCATTTCTAAATAGTCTTCTTGGATGCTGGTCTCCTAGGTTTCTTAGTGGTCTGAAAAGATGTATCCTGTTAACAACTCAGTTAAAGCCCAGAAGGCACTAAGATCATTTTTCACTAGCAAAAGTGGCCAAGGGGACCTGTCAAGACACAAGACACATTCTAAAGCCCTCTGACTGATTCTAAAGCCCTCTCAGTTATGAACAAGTCACACTAAATAGAATTAGGGTCCCTGGCAGCATCTGATTCATGATGAACTGACTCCTATTTATGGTAGTCGATGAAGCATTTGTCTGAAGACACACGTTAAAGGTTCCTATTTGTCTTGAAGAGGCTAGTTCATTTGCTCTATGGTCTAAACAGCTAGATGGATTTTCAAACCAACAACTCAAATCTGAGCGACACAGCAGCAGCTTCCTTGACAGTCCATGCAGTATACAAGGACTCTAGGAAAAACATTATTAATAAGGCTTGAATCACATTTAGGGATAGCGTTTAATCATTTAAAATATGGATCTGGAGAAAGAGTGGATTGGCGGTGTTAAATTTGACTTGAAACAGCCATCTGAATACTATAGACATGTAAGTTAAGTCTAGAGAGAAGCCTATTCTTCACCAGCAAGCTGGACTCTCTGGATCATTCCTATTGGGTTAGATGAGTACATGGCTACAAGTAGCCTGACTTAGTCTCAACATTCCTTGCCCTTCCACAAAACTGAATTTCACCTCACTGTATAGTGTAGTATAGAAGGTGACTAGCAGTCGGTGGAATGATGTGGGACCTGGCAGCAATGGGGCCAGTGTAGCACTAGACTCATTCTCAAGGCAAGGGCTTCAAGTAGGCTCAGACCATACTCAGTCTCTGCCATCACTAGTGTGTGGATCAGTTATAAAAAGAAAAGCCTACAAATGACAGTGGTGAGCACTTCGGGTTGGGCGCCTCCTTCTGTACTAACACCTGAATTCCCTGTCACATGGCATTAAGCACACTGCACCACTTGTACAATGTTGTATTGGAGCTAGCATACAAACATCTACTGATCTGTACATAAAATTCAGCCTCTCCCAGTAAGAGAACAACTTTCCATTTCTCTTTCTAGGTGAAGCTTCTGTATCTACACCCATGAAGCCCTTAGGTATTCTTTGGAAAAAGAACTCTAAAACACTGTGGCTTAAATAGGCGGAACTAAACAACAACAACAACAGAAAGAAAAAGCAGGCTAGTACTTGGGTTGGGAGGGAAGAGAGTGCAGCTTTTGCAGTGTATGATCTCCTTTACTACAGGCATGTCTGGAGGAATTGGCGGAGGCACTATTCCCAAACCGGGCATCATTGGAGTTATCGGTGGTATTCCAGTCATCATTCCAAGGGCAGGATCGAAGTCTGAAAAAGGAGACAAAATAAATAAATAAATAAATAAATAAATAAATAAATAAATGATAGCAGACAAAGTCAAATGGAGGCAGAATGTTATGTTATAAATATCAAGTCAAAAGGTCTTTGTAAGACAAGGGCAAAACAAACAAATGCCTCTTTCTGGTTAACATTCTCAGTCTTAATTACCATGTATCTGTACACTTTTCTTTCATGATGTAGGAGTTGTTTTGTTTGATCCCAGCCTATGTAAATAGTCTCGACATGTCTGTTTGATATTCAGCGTCGTCTATAACATTGCTCTGCCTTGTGTAATCCATCAGTTTCCAGTACACATCTTTGGCTCCATTCTGACAAGGCTTCTTGTTGTCCCTTGTACCTTTACTGTCTTTTTCGAGTATAGTGATAACAGTATACACTTTGTGGGGATGGGGCATACTTAGGTTCTCCTTTCTGTCATTCAGCAGCAATATGGTTTATATCTCCTACCTTCCAGGGAGCCATGAGGTGTAAAGAGAATGAAGAATGAAATGTGCTGAGCATAATGCACAACATGAAGTGGCTCAACAGATAACTACTCTGTGTGTCTTTCTCCATGCTGTTTTCCCTGGCTGGAAGGGTCTGAAGGTCTCTGAATTTTCCCTGTGCTTCAAAGTTTAAGTCTTACACACTTGAAGTGTCCTTTGTAGATTATTCTGGTGCATTCTTAACTCTGTGTCTAAAATCTTTTCAAACTTTTTGCCACTGAATTTTTTTTACTTTCCATTGCTTTTGTTTTACAAAGAGGTGTGACTCTAGGAAGTATGGCATTACCTGCACTGGCTGGTTGTGTCAACTTGACACAAGCTAGAGCCATCAGAGAAAGGAGCCTCAGTTGAGGAAATGCCTCCATTGCATTCAGCTGTGAGGAATTTTCTCAATTAGTGATCAATGGGGAGAGCCGGACCATGGTGGATGGGGCCACCCCTGGGCTAGTGGTCCTGGGTTCTACAGGAAAGCAGGCTGAGAAAGCCAGAGGATGCAAACCAGTAAGCAGCTCCCCTCCATGGCCTCTGCATCAGTTCCTGCCTCCAGGATTCTGTCCTGTTTGAGTTCCTCTCTTGTCTTCCTTTAGTGATGAACAGCAATATTGAAGTGTAAGCCAAATAAACCTTTCCTCCTCAACTTGCTTTTTGGTTATGATTCATCGCAGCAATAGAAGCCCTAAGACAGTACCCAAACAATTTTTGTGAGGTTTATATATGTGAACCCAAATCAACAACAACATCAATAGCAACATCATTCTGATGGCACAATCTCTTGTGATACATTGCAAAACATACAACTTTGGCCCCTGGATTGATTTCTTTACCAGAATCTAGAAGGATTCCATAGGTATATGGCCTGAAGCTTCTAGAGGTATCTAGTTGATTGCATATATAGTATAGAAAATGTAACATGAAGGGCCAGGCCTGCTTGCTTGGGTTTTCTGTCCTGTCCAGTAACCCCCAACTGTTTAGCCCCAAAGAAAATCTCACATAGGTCTCCATAAATTATAAAGCTGATTGGCCCATAAGCTCTAGCCTCTCAGTGGCTAACTCTCACATCTTGATTAACCCATTTTTCTGATCTATGTTAGCCATGTGGCTCAGCACCTTTTTTCAGTGGTGCAGATCATATCCTGCTTGTTTGGGTGGTCTGGGCAGGAGTGGGAGAAATCAACTTCCTCCTTCCCAGAATTCTCCTGTTCTCATTACATCATTTCTACTTCCTGTCTGGTTTTCCCACCTATATTTCCTGCCTGGCCAATCAGCGTTTATTTATAACATGATTGACAGAATACAGACAATTCTCTCACACCAAGAAAATTGGAGAGTACCCCCAAATGGGATAAATAGAAACTGGGGCCCATAGGAACCTAGAATGAAATTAGGACTCTGCACTCAGGTACACTGTCAGTTCTGATCAATCCCTGATATGGAAGAGGAATTTATAATTTTCAAGAAAGGTACTTCTGGTGGGTAGAATAAACAGATCCTACTCTGGATTGGTACTGATTTTACGGCACTGACCTCCTAGCCAGTGTTCAGCACTAGAGAGACTTAGAAGATGGCAAGATAAGCCTTTGAAAGCCTGGCATGACCCCTGAGTGCAGTACAGGCTCAGAACAAGGGCTTCATTTGGATATAAGAGTAGTCCTAATTTCATTGTCTAAATTGGTTTTGTAAAAAAAAAAATCTTGGAGATTTGTAAAAAAAATATTGAGAAAAGGGACTTCAAGTTTCTTTGACTTCCCATTACAATACTTATCTCAGTATAGATATGCATACAGTGTACTGTAATCAAAGAGACACTGTGAAAGGTTGTGCTGGTGATGAAGGGACAGTTGCATTAGCAGTGGTGAACCCTACTCCCTAAGATTTCATCATGCTAGCCACAGAGCTAAGTGGAATAATGTTTGTAAGGTTGTCCTTAAGGTGGCCCTAAGGATCTTGGGTGGTTCTTGAAGATGCTGGAGGAGGCAGATATAAAGAGCAGAGGGACTCTGTGGTTCCAAAAGGGGCAGAACTTTAGTCCTACTATGCCAAAAATTGAAGGAACCCCGTGTCTGGGCAGACAGGGAAGTGAATACCACATGGACATCCCCTTATGCAAGGACAATCCAAGCAAGCTAGGTCATCACGTCTTCTAATGTCTGTCTCCCTTAGGTGCTAATATCTAGAGAGGTTTAGGAAGAAAAAAGATTCTCTCAAGAGCTCTTTTATTTTATAGAAACACTTAGGTTCAATTCTCATAGGTTAACCTACTCAACATGCATGCACACCTATATATAACTGTCTCCAGAGGTTCTCATAATTTTATTATTTTGCACTCAATAGTATGTGACCTTGAGGAAAGTTTCTTAATGTCTCTATGCTTTCATTTTCTTTTTGGTAAACAATAGGGGCACATAATGAAATTCAGCTCAAACAATGAAAGAACAAATTAGGTATTAAGACCCCTGGCATAGACAACTTTTCTTTCTTCTGTGCCAGTTGTGAAACACATACTGATAAACTTACTAATTCAGACATTCACTATTATAGTCCACAAACATTTATGATAAGGTTTCTTTAAGTTACACCCTACGCAGGGGCTCGGAAAGGTGTCTAGTTTCCCTTTTCATCTTGGAGAACTTTAGGTCTCTGGCCCTCTGTCTTGCTGTGCCTACAGCAAGTAAGAGCACCATGATTCAGAATGCCATTTGTGCGTTTGTAAAATCTGATTCCTTGTGCAGAAGATTTTGGAGAGATTGTTAACATCATCTCACCCATTTACAAACTGTTAATTTTCTTTAGGAAGAGATCAGATTAGACTGTATGCCACCTAAACAATTCCATCTATTTCCCAGCCATTGAAATGTTTGTCTTCCTCTTATTGTTCTGCTTGCCTCCTCATTGGTATTCATATAGCTATGTCACTCACAACTCTACCTTTCCACAGATTACAGACACATCACTTCATTAAACAAGTTCTGCTGCTTCCACTGAGAAGGAAATGCCTGTCTTCATGACTGTCTACTAATAGATGGAGACAAACAAATATATAGGATAATATAACTCCTGACTGATGAAGTCACCACTCTGCAGTTTGGTAGGATTACATTAATATTTTATGAATTCATTTAAAAGCAAATGTATTCATGACATATGGCTATAGATAGAATAGATAACCTCCTTTTAATTCAATATGTCGAGTACCATAGGCTAAACTGCCAAAGTGGGCTTTGCTAGAGGGCATTTGTGCATGACATTTCAAAGACTCCCATCCAATTACTTATTATTTTGTTTATATTTAACCATTAAGACACAAAATGGACCTAGATTTCCAATGCCACTGGGGAAAAGCAAGGAGATATAGGCTTTTATATGAGTATTACAGAATCTGAAAACTCAAAGGGAAATTTAAAACACATTGGGAGTAGAACAGAAAAGAAATTCAAACTCCTTTTCTGGCTTCTAGCCTGGATTGAGGAGTACTGCCAACATATGTATTATTGCCACCTATTATTTGGAATTTCAACACCTGAAAGAGATTTGAAATCACACAAAAGGCTGTTAAAAGGGCAAAGTATACCTCCAAAGTTCATTTGACAAAAATTTCACTGTTCAATTTTGCCTTTATTATTTCTTCTTTGGCCACTCATTTCCTATAGCCTTCTTGACTCTTGGCACAGCTACTGCTGGGTAGGCCATAAAATATTGGTTTGTATACCGCCTTTTGAGTCAAGCAATTTTCAAAGTCCCACCCTATTAGAAATTCTGCCGATTCTGAGCTAGTTGGGCAAGCTTTCTGCTCAGATTAAGAGTTGTAGATCCATCACATTTTCAAGTAACTTTTCAGTGTAGACTTAGTTTTCCTGCTACTTAGCAACTTTTATTTCCCAAATTTGGTAATATTAAGTGATACTTTTTACATGTATGAGCCATTGAGGGGGAATGGACACAGAGTCAGGTCTATGCTGTTATCCAATCATCCAATTGTCAATCTGTTACCAATCAGTTGGCTGGGGGTCCTTTGCTCTACCAGGATAGAGATAGTAGGTAGGTGAGGAGAAAATTTTTCTGGCTGGTAGTTCTGAGCCCTTGAGCTTCCATAGCCCAGGGGCTGGAGTAGAAGACCAAAATTTAGAGATATAATCACTGTGAGTTAGGAAACACTGATCCAGGCTTTAGAAACTATACACTTATGGTTCTAGCCATAAATTAGAAGCTTATTATGCTGCATTCAGCCACCCATGGCCTTTAACACATGCAGCTATTGTAATCTTTGGTTAACAGCAGCACTGGGTGGGGGTGAGAGCAGATAGCAGAAGCAGACAGTACCTTCTAGTTTTAAATCTCTCACATGGATCTCAGGTGCTAGGACCCACAGCTCTGCACTGACAACTGTTAGAACTCTCTGGTCCAGAGAGTTGGGATCTCCAGGCTTTGACAGTGGCCTATACGAAGCTCTTGGGTTCAGGGTATCCAAGGTCCTTAGCCCTTAAA